TTTTTTTTTTTTTTTTTTTTTTTTTTTTTTTTTTTTCTTTTTCAATTACCCAGTCGAGATTATCATCTTCGACTCATACTAAGATGCATAGATTTGGCTCAAATTTATTGTTCATATTATTAAATACAATCTATAAAGTCGGTTTTGACTATGAAAGACACAATATATTATAAAATTAGATGAACTTGAAACAAAGGTCTAATCTTCAAAGTTATTTAGATATTTGATGTGAAATCTCACACCGATTTGAGAAGATAACGAAACATTCATTATAAAAAAGTAAAAATTTCTCTCTAACGGACGCGTTTTTAAATCGTGAGACAGATGGTGATACATAACATGTCAAACCAAATAAATTCCGCTCTTAACATGTGGATAAACAGCTTTAAAAGTGTTGATTTGTGAGGTTTTTAGAGTGTATAAATGAAACCCCATGTGAAGAACATTCATTATGCGTTGCACCACTACTCCAAGGCTTTGATCGATGCCAGAAGAGGGCCAAAAGTTTGTCACTCTGTGTTCTCCATTGCTTTATTTATGGAATGATGCTATATTCCATTAACAATTGGGGGAAGGGAAGATGGCACCTACGTGCTTCACAAGTGCTCATCCACCACATGGCTGCTTGATAACATGGTGAGAATCCACGTGAAATGCAGCTTCTCTTATCAATTCCTCAATGGAGCAGAGGCCTTCACAATCAGATTGTGGCCCTCTGTTTTGTCAGTCCCACTCCTATTCTCTTCTTTTAAATTCCCATTCTCAAATTGCTATCTATTACTCACAATTGGGTAAAGAGGAATAGAACTGTGACCATTACATCAATCAACCTCTGGATGAATGCGTTTTAAAATTCAAACAAGAACGTCTATAAGATTAAGGACAATATCTACTAGCGATAATTAGATACCCTTGGGCAAGAAAAGCCCAAAAAAGACCATATGTAACTTTGTGAGTTACAGTTATTACCTTACTTCCTCTTCCTCTGTGGTGTCTACAAAATTAGAAATTTCAAATTCCCCATTTTGTATCCATTTCTCTGCAAAACTTGTCGGAACTGAAACACCCCATTCGTTCACCTATCTTCTTTCCAATTCCTCACACATCTCCATGTTTCTGAATCCTTCCCTTCCAACTATGGCCGTCCGATTTCGCATCTTCTTCCCCTTCCATACTCTCCCCTTCGGTTATGGACAGAGCTTTTACAGACCCACCGCCCTGGAGTGGCCCATCTGGAGATCCCGCCTGCGTACCACTTGTCTTTGAGTGGTGCTCGCCGTCGTGTTCTCCCGGTATCCACCCCTCGCCGCTTGAACCTTCCTGCGGGCCCAATTTTCGAACGTGAAGCCTGTACTTCTGCTTCCAGAAAGATTCATCACAAACAAAAAGGCTTCTAAGATAAGAAATCGATGATTTAAAAGGAACCCAGAAATTAATTTGTGTTTTTTTTTTTTTTTTTTTTGTTAATCCTACTTGTAAATGGCTTTTCACTTCGTCGTTGGTGAGGCCGTCCACCTGCATCAATTCCTTTATCTGTTTTGGTGTTGCCACTGCGGAATTGAAATAGATCCATTAATTGATTCTCAGATGTAAAATTCCCAGAGAATCAAAATTGTAAGAATTTTTTACCTTGAGATCCGCCGAGTCGATGCAGTGCGTCGATGAAACGCCGGTGGAGCCCCGGCGACCAGCACCGTCTCTGTTTCCTTATAGTCTGCTGCTGTTGGGACAATTTTGTCTGTCCATTTATTTGCACCGCCGGCGAAGACGACCCAGAAACAGCAGCTCTACCGCTCCGTCCACTGACGCGGCCATTCTTGACGGTCAAATTAACATTAACAGGAAAAGGATCGGAAATTGTTGTCATTAGAGTAAGTTTTGGGACTTCTGAAACCGCCATATCTTCTTTTTTGGATCTTTTAACGAAATTGCTTTGATCTTTGAACAATTCGAATGCTCTTCGTCTTTTTTCACAATCCCAGTGTTCGATTTGGGTCTGTGGCACGGACCGATCGTCTTCATCCCCATCCTGTAACGAAAGCTATTTAAATCCATCCCGAAAACCCCCATTCTGAGGAATAAGCTATTTAAAAGTTACCAAGTTCATATTCGATTTGGCGTTGGAGATATCGTCATCAACAAAATTGAAATTCGTGTTCCACAACTGAGCAGAACTCAACCACTTCCTCCTCTCGTTTTCCCCGTCGGCTTGATCGGAGCTTCCCTTTAATGGCATGAACTCTTCAATCACCGGCAACTCCTTCACCGACTGAAGCTGCAACACCTCCTCTTTCAACTTCAAAATCGCTGCAAACCCACGAATCAAAACGTAAAAAAAAAACCCAAAATCCCGAAAACGACAACAAATGAGAGAATCCAAAGAGACCCACCATCTTGCAAGAGAAGAACACAGAGAGGAAGCTCCCGTTTAAAGGCATCGATCTTCCTCATTTCATCTTCCAATCTCTTGACATAATCATCGAGCGTGGTGCGTTTAGTGAAGGAATCGGAGATGGATGAGAGTTGGAGAAGGATTTGGGGTACGGTTTTGGGTAATGAGTCCAAGGACAAATCTAGGCTGGGTTCCATAATCGATTACTGGGTGTGTCGAACTGTGTGTATGTTTATCCGGATCATTTGCAAGAAACAAAAATAGAGAACGGACAGAGAAACAGAGAGAGGGAGAGGAGATTGTATTTATAAACAGCTCAGATTCAGGAGGCTAAGATTCGAGGGGGGAGTTTATGTTTGATGACGAAACCGGGTCGTCGCATCTAGTACAACAATAAATCGGCGACGCGGGGAAATTAAATCGAATCGGCCTGGTCGAGTTTCCGAGTCTGGTGGTGTTGGAATCTTTGGATTCTCTAGATCATCGTCATGCGGCGAATTGTTTACTTTATTATTTTTTATTTTTTTAAAAATAAATTAAAACAATATTTATATTCAGGGACTTAAATTAATGCGCCCCTTTTTGAGATTTCCAAAAAGAAATTTCTACTAGATTCTTCGGTGGGTGGGTGGGTGGGTGCGACAGGGGAGAGGAACCGTGGGCCGAAAGCAACGCTGTCTTTGACTTAAACCGTAATTTTCTCTCTCATTTGACGCCATTTTTTATATTTATTTCAATTTATTTAGTATTTATTCTTATAAATATTATTAAATTCATTTAACTATTTCAATTATATTTATATCTTATAATATGTCTCGACCACCTGATTCCACGTCTTTATAAAAATATTTGGTTCTCTTCTATAATTGAGGTGCAATCTCACAATCCACTCCATGTTGGGAACTAGTGTTTTCACTAATACTCGTTCTCTTCTTCAATTGATGCGTGACCCCCAATTCACCTCTTTTCAGAGCCCAACATCTTTGCTGGCACTCGTTCTCTTCTTCAATCAATGTGGGACCCTCAATCCACGTCTTACAGGGCCAACATTTTTGCTGACACATCGTCTCGTGTTCACATCATTCAAGGCTTTGCCTTTTCGCTGGCACATTGCTCGGTATCTAACTCTAATATTATTTGTAACAACGGATATTGTCCTTTTTGAGTTTTCCCACAATATTTTTAAAATACATTTACTATCGAAAATTTTACACATTTTTATAAGAAATGTTTTGTTTTCTTCACCAACTAAGGTGAGATCTCACATTACAAATATTGTAATTCTCATTATATATATATATATATATAGTTGTCCATTGTTTCACAGTAATTTAATTTCGTCTAATTCTTAAATAATTTAATCTCTATAGTTTCGACAATCTTGCAATCTTCAAACCCAACTCCAGTTCTCAACTTGGCTCGGCCTCTTGGTTTGGTTCGGTTCAATTTGGTTTAAGTTGGTTCGATTGTTTCTTTGATAGCGAGGAAGGAAATAGGGTGAAAATGAACGGTGGAAAATGGTTTGTTGATCCCACTAGAGTGGCAAGGAGTTGAAAAAGTATGGCTCAACATCTTGTGTGACAGGAGAGAGAATCGGGCACGAGGATAAGGCATTTCTTTTTTAACGGTCAGATTGCGAATGGTGCTGCTTCAACTAACACAGTTGTAAGGATCCAGTACGATCTGCCTTTTTCTGTTTTTTTTTTATTTATTATTTTTAAGATGCTTCATTTTCTCTTTTATACTAAATAATCACACCCATTCCTCACTCCAACCAATAACCCTTTTTTCTTTTTCTATTTTTCTATTTTTCTATTTTTCTATTTTATTTTATAAAATATTTTAATTTTGATTCTTCACAATTTCTTTTCGTCTTCCACTATCCCATCGTGGATGCAATCATATTATGCATACGCCATAAAACTGACCAATAAGTACTGTCATTGTCACATCTTTTAACTTAATACCTAAATATCTATGCAATTTAATTCAAACATAATAATGTGATATTGTGTGTTATTAACATAGATTTAATGATTTATTATTTAAGATATGAATGAAAAAAAAAAAAAAAAAAAA